ACATTTTTCTTTGAGGCATTCGTTTTCGTGTCTGATTGTTCAGTGTATATGTAAGAGCATTTTCTCTAATAAATGCTCACAACGCCAGTCTTAGTCTGCATACTACAGAAAGTGATAAGCATGAATTGTAAGTTAACGCTGTTCTTAAGCCGATTTTCTTTTAACCTATCTAACATTTATTTGACATGGTCATAAATATTTGCATGTAAACAAAACTGACCTTAGATAGCGATGTTGTTCTCAAAAAATAAATCTAGGAAATGTATAGAATTGTGTAGAATTCTACTAGTGACTAGCAGTGTGGGATCGGAAGGGGGGCGCGGGCGTGTGGAGATTGTATATCTGTACTGAGGTAGAATTCTATAGAATGTCTGAATGGCAGGAACTCGGACATCCCTCATTCAAAAAGATAAATAGATCATGATCTATTTTCGTGTTCAATGTAAAATGAGTTCGCGCTAAGATTTTGATTAAAATCGAGTTTGCTTTACAATATAATGACTTTCTCGGATTGGCTTGGACAAAAAACGCATATGAGAAAAAAAGTCGGAGAAAAAGCGCGATTGCGTTAAAAAAAGAAACTAATATCGTGAAATGGACTGAAGACGTAGGTGAACACCGTTAAATGGTGTGTTGGGATGCGTGAATAAATTATCCACCTGTGATCAGTCTGAAACAGTTCACGAAAATATATATGTGACGTTTTCTCCATGTGACCGCTAATGAAAGTCGAGAAATGTGTAGTGACTGCACCTGGATTATTCACGTTAGTATTTCCATAAAAAAATTTCACTGGCAGACACGCGTCTAGAACTAACTATATTATAAAAAGTACCACTTCACGTTAATCCATGCATACCTTATTCAAACAACTTCTTTCGTGAATAATATACACGTTTATCCACGATTGAGAATATTTGGATTAGTTTAAGATTTATCTGAAAGTCTGTGCAAAAGTGTTTATGGTACAATTTTTTGATCGAGAATGCTTATTTATTTGAGAATACGCGTGTAATTCCTCACGAAAAGTAAATACATACAGATGAAAACCCAAAAATATAAAATTATGTACTTTCTGTCAAATTTGGACATTGTATGTAGATAATCCGCCTGTGGTCACTACATACTTCTCGACTTTCACTAGCGGTCACATGGGAAAACGTCACATATGTTTTCGTGAACTGTTCACGACTGATCACAGGTGGATAAGTTATTCACGCGTTCCAACACACCATTTAACGATGTTCACCTCCGTCTACAATCCATTTCACGACGTTCACAGGTGTAAACGTCGTGGTAGCTACTAATATTTCTCCATGAGTTTAGTAATCTTTTGCAGTGCTTTTAGTGTGTAGTTCTTAAGAACTAAAACACTTCAATCAATTAGTTCGTTAAACAATTGTTTAACGACGACTAAACACTGCACTGTATTGTACAAAACAGAGAGACAAAAAAGAAAAATATTCATTAAAAGGAATAAGTTATAGAAAGCGGCACACAGCAATTATTCTGTCTGATATTTTCCAGTATGTGTGTTCTGCAACACTTGTAGCTATTGCATAACAAGAGTGACCAGTCAGAGTTGTCTCATATAAGCAGACTAGATGCAGTCCTTTGCTGTAGATCGAAGATATTTTCTGTAGGAATATGCATGGGAATCATCTTGTTTCCCAGGAGGAAGTATTAACTAAAAAAAGTTTGAAAACTAGAAAAACAGATTTAAGAAGTTTCATGAGTAACCAAGCGTGAGAACTCTTTTACACGTCGTAACTCGTGAGGATTGATCCGACAAGTATAAATATGAGATTTATTCAGTAGTTTTTCAGGCAAGTTAGTTCAATAGTAGTATCGTAGGTTTCTAATTCAAAGTATCCGGGTGCGACTCGTACTTAGTGGTGATATATATAAAATGTGATATTTTAGAAACTGGTGGTCACACGTGGAAAAAGTTATAGATGGAGTTGCATTGATGAAGACTGAAGTTATGCTTTGACCATGGTGACTACGTATAGTCAACTGACTATAGATAATCACCACGGTCAAGATTTTTTCACACGTAACCACGCGTAGAGGGATTAAATCTACAAAAATCGTAAAACAAATTAGTCTAAAAATCCTCATCGACTCTAGATTGGACTTAACATAGTCTATTGATTCAAATACAGTATGAGAATATGAACTCTTAATGACATTAAAAGAAAATATTCATCCATCTAATTAATCAATATTGTTTAAAATTTGTTACGTATGTATACGTGTGACGATTTCCCATCAAAAGTTTCTGTGGAAATTTTCACGGCTTCAGAGTCATGCAGTTACAACATCAAACGCGTAACGGCTAGTACTAAATGTCACATATGTACGCAAGTGAACAATCTCCACCCGTGAACACGCGTTTGATGTTGCAAGTGCACGACCCCGAAGTCGTGAAACTTGCTATCTATATCTACCAAATTTTATGAAATTCCAAGTGGAAGTGCAAGGACACACACGCGTGAAATATCGATAAAATTTCCCCATGGATGATACATCACTTACCTGTTATAAGATAGTAAAGACTGATTATAGCTCCGATTAGACCTATGACAGCTATTATTAAACATATAGCGATGATCAAACAAATTCTTCGTGAAAAACACGCTGTTATCGCCCCTCCATATGGCCGATCATGCACTTCACTTGTTTTTTCTCGGTGTATTTGACTATGATAATTTTCGACCTAAAAAAAGGAAAAAAACGAGAACGGTTTCAATTTGAATTTCTGAGATTAACGAGTGACAAAAGTGAATAATTATCTTTAATTGAGTTCTGTTCAGGAAGGTTGTTAATAGTGTAATCATTCTGTTTCTCTTCCTGATTATTTTATTTAAAATTCGTTACGTTTCGTTGTAGTTTTACAACTTCTTCCGACATAAGATCTTTAACACTAACTATTAACACACTTTTTAATTGAATTATAGAACAAAAACAAAACCGTTGACCATTTTGAACTTTTCGACTATTTTGATCTATTCAGACCATTGTGATCATTAATTCTTCTTTCTTCTTTGTCTCTCTTATACATATAACAGTGGTACGGAAACAAGACGGCCATAGTGACAACTAGACAGGATAAACCTTTTCCGTAGCACTATCATAACGACATAACGAAGGTGATCAAATGAAAATTAAAGTTAGATGGTTTCGTAAGACAACAGCAGCAGACAGACTATTAAACTATGAGTCAAGCCATTCGAAATCGATCAAAAATAACATTGTAAAGAATATGGCAACTCGAATACTACAAACAATGAAAGAAGCAGGAGAACAGAAGGAAGACTTACAAAAGTTGAAACAAATGCTACTGAATTCTAACTATTCGTTGAAAGAGATTGATAACGCTATTACGCTAATTAAACAATCATGTGAATCAACCAATAGGCATCAAACTAGCAACAAAAAAGATGAAGAAATGAAATATAGTGTTAGTCTACCGTGCGTTCCAGGAATGGAAGTGCTGAAAAGAAAATTGAAAAAACTGAAAGTTAAATTGTATTTTTCGTACCCTAACAAAATTCAATCACACTTTAATGGTACTTTGAAAGAACCATTGAAGTCAGTTATTTATCAAATACAGTGCAGTTGTGATCCTCCTCAAATATATAACGATGAAACTAAAATTTAAATTGATAATAGAATGAAACAGCATTTTCAACTGATAAACAACGATAAGGAAAAATTGGAAATGGTGCAACATCAACAACAAAATAGATATCAATGTCTATTTGATACGGATAATGCCTTTACCGTTGAACAAGAGAAAAACTGGCGTAAACGAAGACTAAAAGAAACAATTTATTCTAAAGTAAATAAATCAGTCAATAAACATAATGATATTAGCGGTGATTGGAATCCTATTCTTTACAAGGCAGAACAAGAAATTAAAAGAAAGATCCAATCAAGTCGAGAAACATTTGAGAAATATAAAAGAACTGAGACCTAAGGAACAAGACAGTGATTATGCATGTGATTATAAAGCGTATGATCTTACAAGATCTTGCCATTGAGAGACGTGACTTATATTTATTTCTTATCGCAAGATCATACGATTTCTTGTTATATGATCCTGCAAGAATCGATGACTCATTCTTATCACATAAATTTTGCTATGATATTGAGTATATATATAACATGATCCTTATGATAAAACTTAGAATTTTTTTCTTTCTTCGTCTTCACACATCAGCCGAGCGCAAATAAAGTGCATGGCTATAAGGAACGCGGTTAAACACGATCCTAAGGGCGTTTGTGTCCTACTTATGCCAGAAAATATTATGAATAGAGAAAGATACTTTTTTAAGAGAGTCTAGAGGAAATTTATAGAACACGATCAGGCTCATAATCTTATAAGATCTGATGAATTCTTACGTGATGTTATGAGTTCTTGTCAGTTCTTGCAAGATCATATGATATCTTATACGATCTTATGAGATCTTACAGCTTCATATGTTATGATCTTATAAGATCCTACAAGATCTTGTAAGATCATTTTTCTTATAAAATCTTATAAGAAGTAAAAAGATCTTACAAGATCCTTTGAAACCTTATGATTTTTTGGAATAGGATCGTATAAGACCATAGGAAATCTTGATATACGATTGCTTATCCTGGGTCTAGTTGTTCCCAGGTGATTGAATCGTACTATCCGATCGTACAAGATCGTATACGAAGCGTACGAAATCATATACGATTCTGTACGATTTACATACGAATCGTGGTATATGATTTGTCATCTGGATCGTACTATACGATTTCATACGAAGTTGTATGATCGTATAGGATCTTGTACGAGCGGATAGTACAATTCAATCACCTGAGTAGTGTTAAAGACTTTATGTTTGAAGAAGTTGTAAAACTACAGCGAAACGTAACAAATTTTAAATAAAATAATTAGAAAGAGAAACAGAATACACTGTTAACAGTCTTCCTGAACAGAACTCAATTAAAGATAATTATTATCTTTAATGTACCTGTGCTTTATCGTATACATGATTTGTTCTTAGCCGTTTCTCCTTGATAAAACCATTTTTGACGTGAGGATGTTCCATAACTGTGATGGATTGCTCTTCAGGATTAACCAATGTAGCGGATCTTGATGAGTTCATATGATCCGATTTAATTCGATCGTCATCAACAAACGTTACTTTTTGTTGTTTCACATAAGCTGGTCTTTCGTCTACAGGAGATCTCGGCGGACTAATTTGAACGCCAGCAGTTTTTCCTTTTCGGAAGGGCACTTGCTTTTTTGTGGTTTCTATTTGAATAGATTCAAAATGGCGCTAATATAGAACGCATTAGAATATCAAAGAACAGAAACCATAAAAGTAAATTTTTACCGAGTAGTTAAGTGATTAACTACACTACGAGTTTAACTATTTTGTCGACATTATAGGAGAAAGTGAACCACGAAACTATCAAAATTGTTTACAAATAAGAAATTTAATCATATCATTAGTGATATTTTTTTAGCTAAGTTACAGAAGAAATAAGATTACATTAACTGTACCTCTTGGTGTGTCATCATCAATTCTTTTGTATGGTGGTGATGGGCGTCGAAAATGTACAGTTAGTGGTTTCTTATGTGGATCATTTGTTTCATTTGTTTCTTCTGCCGGAGGAATAGGCGTCTCAATCTTTGATGGTGGTTCATCTTGCAAAAGAATTGGTGAGCGAACTTTGGGCTTGTGAGTTTGATCTATAATAATAACATTTGATAGATGTTGTAAATCTTTTTTAGCTGACTGAGGAAGACCTGAGGTAGAAGGTATTGGTCGACGTATAACATAAACCGTCTTTTGCTAAATGTGTAAATCAATCTTTTTATCTCTACAAATCAAAATAATATGTATACTTACCGGCGTCTGTGTTTCTGATGGTAATAAGGTAGCTGAATTTGGTCGTAGTAAATCATTAATATTAGATTGTAGCTGTTGATGTACATTTGGCTGTTTTGGATTTCGAACAACAACAATTCGTCTTGCAGATGGTTGTGACGCATCAGCTGAATGGATCACTTGACTATCATAATTCGACGGTCTGGATCGACCATTCGGATCGGACAGCCCGTCAACAGACAACTCGTTATTAACGGGTGTGAAATACGGTTCATGTTTACTATAGCTTTGTTCTTGTCTTATGACACGTTTTGTGCCTATATCATTAGCAGCCATATAAACACTCTGCTATAAGCAGGTGGATATATTAACGACACATAAAAGCGGTAAAAAAGAAAACAAAAAACGTTTAGTTTGTTTGTGTGTTCGTTACACTTCAGAGCATAGAAACACATGAATTATATTTAAATTATATTCTAATACAAACAAATACCTTTTTCATTTTTATCATCGATGACAGTGAAATTTATTTAAGCTCAGTTAACACGAAATTTACAAAAAGCATAATAAGCCATAGAGAAAAGAAGTTGTCAACATCTTTCAATCCACTTGTTGAAGAAATAAATCAAAAAGTTTCTGAAGAATGATAAACGTTTTTGTATTGCTTAGTAAAAAGTACATACACTTTAAGAAAAAGCGTTTGTAGATTAAAAAAAGTTAAATGATTTATAAAGTAACTGCACGACTCAAAACAGTCTACTATCTAGCGATACTAAAGGAAAGAATTTATTTATGTCAAAATTCATTTCGCTTTCGTAGCGTCTATTGCACCCATGAATTTCCTACGATTGATTTATTCAAAGTGATTTTGATTGTGTATGATAAACCTGCAAGAATTTTTTGTACAAAACCTGAAGTATCAGAAATGACTGATTGATTTTTATTTCGGTAACAACGAGATAATATAGCCGTACAGCAGAAACAAAAAAACACAAACGGGTAGAAGAAGTTGTTAACATGAAAGCAAGAAAAGTGCAAAACGCCTATAAATATTGCTGGCGTTCTAAAAACTGATGTTTAAAAGTTTTTATACAAGGAGCTGTTACTACTGCTTTCTGTAAGCGCGAAGTTCTAATTCCCAGTAGTCTACTAGTAGAGGTAATTTAAGTTTTCGAACAAGGTGTTCAAATGTGTCGAAGCCCTTCTTGCCTTGCTTTGGTCCATCTTGTCTTGCTTTGGCAAGATCGTCCACATGCTGTTTCTATCTAAGATTATAATGTATTTTTAAACCTGGAAGGACTAGGCTTCGTACGCATGAAATGACAGAATCATCATATAGTTGATACTGATAACTATCAGCTTTGTTTGGACTGTTTAACCCAAACATCCACGCACACTCTGTAAGGTTAAGTATCATGAGATTTGAACTGAATCTATTATATATTTTGTCGATATTATCTCGACAAAAGTGAAGTAAATTGGTCGCAGTAACGGCACGGGTGGCAGTCTTTAAAACTCGTTACGAGATGAAAAATACTAACGTCTTCTTTTAGACTGGGAAGCTGTTTTGAACTCGTTATGAGTCAAAATGAGTGTTATATTCTAATATAGTATAAGGGAGGTTGGGGAGAATGTTTTGAACTCGTACGAGTTTAAAAACTTGTTACGAGTTCAAATGAGTGTTAGTCATAGCATAGGAGAGGCATGTTCACCAGGACGGGAGTGGCAGGGGGGATGGCATGATGAGAGTGAATGGACATGAACACTACAGCACCAAGTTTTTAAACTCGTACGAGCTCAAAACAGCCAAAACTAGATGTACGGAAGCCTTTTTTATCTCGTTACGAGTACGGCTTTAACATGAAGTCAGTAACGGGATAGATCAACGTACAGTCATAAGCAAAAAGAATGATCAGAAATTAGTTGCACTACGAAGATTGCTCCTAACATGAAATGGTTGTGTATGAAAAATAATCCTTCAACAATTCTTGCCAGTGCCAAAAGTTTCAAAAACTCTAAACGCTCAACATTGAACGTCGTAGTACTAGTTTTAGTACAAGGAAAGTTCAGAAGAGTTCCGATTATGACTGAAAACACTTAAGGACAGTTCATTGCTAACAAATTACAATAAACAGCAAGATTCTCTAAAACGTAAACAGAATATCTTACATGTTCGATATTAGTAGTTGATTTTTAAGTAGACTATCAGTCGGTTCGTATTGTATAGTGAAATTGCTTGAATTGTCTGTTATAGGATTAACTTTAAGCATTTCAAACCCTTGGGATGACTGATTATTCAATGTTACATAGGAAACTGTGAAAATAGCTTTATATACAAAATTCGTAACCTAATATTCAGCTACATCGTATGTGAGAGTTGGAACCGTTTGAAAAATCAAATCAGCTCGTATCTGTAAATCGGTAAAAAACAGTTGTCAAAGATAACAATCCGTAAGAAATCGGCAGAAAAAATTATTGAAAAATTCTCAGCTCTTTTCCGGAATCTTACGTGTGGGACATAGTTATTTCACGATAGACATCTCGGCCAAGGACGGGATGTCTCTCAGTAACAGCTGACATTATAAATCGATATGCCGTTTTGCATTGTTTTTCTGAAAACTTTAACAAAAACAACAAAAAGCCTGAGAAATGCTTCGGATGATAAAGTGATATAAAAACGGCAAATCTAAAAATTTAATCGAATCGCACCGCGATTTACTGGCCCGGTTTCAACTCTCTTGTGCACAACCATTCGGTGCTCAATTATATTGAATTAAATTGATGAAATTTTAAGTCGATTTAATATACTTGTATGCGTAGGTAGTATTTTTTTCTCAGATGCTGTTCATACCATGCAAGCATCTACCGTTACAAAGATCGATACTACCGTGTTACCGTAGGCAGTTTCTGAAACAAGAGAATGGTCTAGATAGTTCCCATGTAAATTCATTGTGCCTAAAAGGATGCTTTTTTTTGTTTAGAAAGGCGCGTCTCAGCACATTTTTTTAAGAAAAATGTCTCATACCCGATAGAACGTGCCACACCACAACGTCCTTAGGCGTACCTGGCATTTTTCCATCAAAAAAATGCGTATTAACGCGCTTTGCCAAGAGAAAGGAGGGATCCGCATAAGGCTGATAATCGGCCCACTTGATTTTTTACCTAAAAATGATTGTATGAGTAGTAAAAAAGTGTTATCAGTCGGTTTTAAGTCATTTCACGTACTTTTGGTAACTAAAATCCTAGTAATGCTTCATCAATAGGGTGCCAATATCTCATCCTTCAAGGTCAGCTATAGGTTACGTAAAAAGTGTTTTTCTCATGTTTCTTTTGCGTAGGTAGGCGACAAAGTAAATAGATCATTGGATAGTCCCTAAAATTCTCTACAGAATTTGTATAACATAACAGTTAACCGTAGTGCTTTGATAGCAGTAGGGCGCTTAGAATATACCTATACCATATAGTAGACAGTCTCCACTGGTGTAGCCCTTTTTTCTCCCGAACAAGAACGCATACATTTTTCTATTACATATCATTTTGGAGCTCATGACATTTGCTGCAACCTGGCATGTTCAAAATTTCAAGGTCGGTGGGACCAGTCTCCAGGAAATGGACCAGAAGTAAGCCGATTGGTTAAAGAAATAAGTAAATTTTGTGTCATATACCATTTTAAAGCTCGTCGAATTCTCTGCAACGTAAGCAACGTATGATATCTTGATCAGTAGGTTCAGCCTCTGTAGTTTTAGGCGTGGTATCAGTTTTTCTGGGAGTCCCAAGACTGGTATAGGTGACCTCGGATAACCTGTAAAATAAATGGA